AATAACGAAAAAACGCCCCGGAGACGGCAGTGCGGGGGAAACGTGCTGTCTCCACCGCCTGGCGATAGAATTGGGTTAAGAGCGTTTTTCTCGTCACCAGCAGCCGTATATAATCACAATGGCTTTCGTATTCGTTTCAACGAAGAGCCCCACAACGAGGCCAAGCTCGGGTATATTGTCCCGGAATGGGTCGACTGTCCTACAGACGCTGTGCTGCAGAAGGTCTGTAGCAAGGTGGTCTTCCTGCAACGGTGATCATCCTTCCCTTACGTCAGGAAAAGATTTCGGAGGTGGCAAAGCAGCTTACTCAAATCCCAGCGGAGACGCTCCTCTTCCTATCGAAGATACGCATGCTCTCCATCTACGATCAGCAGTCGCGGCCTCCCACGGAACTGGTTCTCTCCAGATCTGTGGAGATGACAACGTCAAAGAATGGAAGCGTGGAAACGAGCACAACTTTTCTCACAGCTAGTAACGGACGGAATGGCACTCAGCACAGCAACTACTACATGTTTAAGCAGACTTTGAAAGTACCTGAGGAGGCCAAGGTTGAAAAGCGAAAAGATGTCGATAGCTGGATGATCACTCTAGCCTTTCCGGTGGATGATCGTATCTCGAGCAGCTGCAGCATTGGCGATATCTTCTCGTTCCTGCCTTCCGATATCCACTCGGGCCTGCCGTTTCTTATCAACTCGGACTTTTTGCTCGTTTCCTCCCGTGCGACGCTCCTCTTTGACAGCTCCTGGAACCAGGGGATCTTTCGCTGTGTTCCCGAGGTTTTCTACAACGCCTTCGAGCTTCTCCTCAACACCACGGCGTTTGGACTGCAGAGTATACTGTCAGTAGCACGCATGGCAATGTACAAGTACGTACCTGTGAATGTTTGCCGCAACTCGTACCTCGAGAGAGTCCGCAACGATATCTTGTCCAAGCTGAAGGACAACAACGTCATTCTTTGCGCCTCGGACGTCGGCCGTGCACCACCGAGCGGGCAGCTTTGCAAGCCTGCTCTTGCGAGAAAAATCGCCCCCAGCTTCCGAGAGCTCCTCAAAGCCGCACCGAAGTGTCCCAGGTTCTTGCGAGGAAGTCCCTCGTACATAGTGGACAGCACGCTGCAGGAGAACTACGGCTCGGTGCTGAGACTCCTGGGACTCCCAGATATGAGCAACGATGAATATCACCAAAGCCTCGACTCTGAAGACTGGATGAGATCGCTCCCCGACGATGCATATGTCAAGCTGCTGGTGTTCCTGTCCTCCAAGTCGTCAACTTTGAGATCCCTCAAGTTTCTCAAGTATCGAGGCTCCGATGGTCGACTCCAGTTGGCAAGCATGGATGATCTCGCGCGAAACGATGGCAGATCCATGTACTGGGATTCTGGTCACAGAGCTACCGCTTGGCTCGCTGGTTGGACAGAGGTGTTTCAACGTTGGCTAACTTTCAACTTCGTTCCATCGGCCTGCGCTGCAAAAATCCGGCAGCACTCGGTGTTAGAGAACTGGTTGGAGAGAACCCCCTTCAGCGTGAGCGAACTGACAGCATGCTCACTCGCTCGTCAGGTTCTTGGAGCAGTCACTGCGAACTCCTCAAATGCAAAGCTTGCTGTTCTAGCGATGCACTTCCTGTTCGACCTGTACAGAAACGACCGCAGCTCGTACACATCTATCAGCAACGAAAAGCGTAATGTACCAATCGTCGAGAATGACGGAGCCGTGAGTCCCTATGTTGCGAGTTATGTTTCAACGCGTCCATTGTTGCTACCGGCGGCTTGTGGAGCGAAGTGGCCGCTCTTGCTCCCGTCTGACGTGTGGAGACGCGGCGTTCGAAAATTGTCAGAAGAGTATATGGAGTCAGCAACGGTCGATCTCTCCGACTCCGACGTGCGAACCGAGTTTGTGAATTTTCTGAAGGAGGTTTCTGGCTACGGACATCCCCGCCTTTGGTCCGGTGAACGAGGCCCTTCCTCCGCATCATGTTGGTAACGTCGCAGCGAGCTCGTTGTTACTGAAGTGGATTAAATCCCGGCACTGCAATGCACCCGCTTTCACTTCCAGTATTAAGACTACCAAGTGGTTGAAGACGAGCCACGGATACGGCTGCCCAACCGTTGCATTCCTGCCGGTGCCTGAGCTGCTTAAGGTCTTGAAAGTCGAGGATGTTCTGTTCGTGGACAAGGACTGGATGCCATTGGAGGAGTATAAGAACGAGTTCCGAAGCCTGGGAGTGGCTTGCGAGCCCGGCATGGGATATGCAACTGTCCTCCGCTGTCTCGGCAATATGTAGAAGCTTCCTGCTCGGCAAGTCGACACGGCTAAAGTGGTCAGATTTTATCAGTACCTCTCCCGCTGTGCTGAACAAGAATTATGGAGGGACGTTGACACGATCTGGGTGCTGCAGAGCGAAGGCCGTGCAGCAACCTGGAAGAAAAAGGAAGAATGCGTCATTCACGACGTTGAGGGCTTGTTTGAAGAACTCGGTGTTGTACCCCTGGATAGCTGCTACGAGCGGGTCATGCAAGACATCCTTCAGAAGAGGTTTCATGTTTGTGAGAAGCCTTCGATCATCAAGTTCTGCGAGGTGGTCGTCTAAAGGCAAAGATGTCGAGGTACAAAAGGCTTACACAGTGTGGCGTGAGCTGGTGGAGGCGAAGCTGGTCTCGTCACGACCAACTTCGACGCCGTATCTGAAAGTTTTCTGCGCGAGCAGCTGCGTTCCTTCAATACCAGCCTGCGAAAAGAACGCAGCCACCGTCAAGCTTCTTCCGCCTGCAAAGACGGTCATGGTTGATCAGCTAGAGCTGGAACATCTCTTTGGAAACACTAATCCTCGTCCATGGGTGGCGTGGTATCCAACCAGCCAGGAGATCAACACGCAGGAAGTATATGAAGTCTACTCCTGGCTGGGGGTGAAGACAATCTCCGAATGTGCTGAATCGGAGACGGACGCAAGCTGCATGCATAGCTTCAAAACACAAACACAAACACGAACACGGCATTCAATTTTTTGAACACAAACACGGAACACAGAAATGAACACGGATAAACACGGGTGAAAACACAAATATTCTCTAAATTATTCTACTTATCACTCCATCTCATCTAGAAGCTCCTCATTAGTAGGATCATCATCTTTGTCTTCGTCCTCTTCTTCCATAACTTCAATATCAGCATCAGTAATTTGAGGAATACTTCCTGTTTGGCTCAATCCCACAAACTTGTCATAGGAAGTGTGGCTCCCTATCAACTTGGTATTACTGGCCACAAATACCAAGTCTGCAATCTGGCTCACTGCTAAGCAATTCCTCTTCTTTGAAGTGATGTGCCCAAAAATGTTGAACAATCGCTCCACAGATGAGGAAGAACTCGCCTGACTAAGCACTCGAATTGCCAACCTCTACAAATCTAGACCTGAGTAGCCATTGTCCTCCCACCACTGCACAGAACCCTTTGTTGTACAATCCATCTGAGAGTCCCCGGTGCCAAAACTACCCTCCAAGTTCCTGTATTGGCAAAGCTGATTTTTTATAGTTGACCTTTGCTGATAGTCAGGGAACTGGATCTCCAAGTACATGTTCCAATCTTTGGAAACTTCCCTGGATTTTTCTTGTCCTCGCCCCTGAAACTCTAGATCAAGCGTGTATGCCACGGAGTGAAAGGTGCTATGATAAGCCCACCACCTGTTTGAAATCAGTTGGTTTAGCTCCTCATACTAAAGATTGTTCTCCTCTTGTTGACGGATGTTCTCACTCATCTGATCCATCCCCTTGTAGACCTTCCCAATCACAGGCATGTCTCCGTCAACCATTTGTAGCAAATACATCACCCTCCTTGAAACACCCAGCATGTGGTTAACCTCGTTCCAGTATGTATCATTGAACACAATTCCTCGGCATGCTATCCCAAAATCTGTCCTTGACTCTAGCCTTGCATTGTAAGTGTCGCTCACAAACATTTGTTGTAGCTTTGGCCTCAACTCCACCAATCTCTCCATCATAAGAAAGTTGAAGGCGAATCGTGTTTCGCTGAACTTCAACACTCATCGTGAAGAGAAGGATGCCAAAATCGCTACTAGATGCGAATGGTTCCGAAGGAAGCCAACCAGAGTCTTTCCCTTGTCTAGCAGCCCAACCATCCATGGTAGTTTTGCGAAATCCTTGAGAATGTTGTTCAAACAATGAGCTAAGCACGGAGCCCACATAATCCTTGGCTTCCTCGCCTCTAGAAGCCTAGCAGCAGCCTTGTTTGAAGCCTCACCATCCGTGACAATAAGAACAACATTCTCCTCTCCAACAATCTTGATACCTCGCTCCCATGTCGCAAAAACGTTATCAGCCGTCTTCCCACTAGAAGATATATCAATGGCCTCGAGAAAAGTCGACTGTCCTCTGCTGTATGCAACAAGCCCCATGATATGTCAATTTCTTGTGTCATTCCATGCATCAGCAACAAGAGTAACCCCACAATTCTTCCAATGTGCCTTCACCTTGGCAAATTGAACTTCAAGATTGGCTTTCTCCACTTGCAATAATTCCTCTCGCAATGCTGTCTCTGTTGGAAGATTGTAGGGAATTCCATGCCTTACAATCTGCTGCACCATTTCCTTGAAATGGTGAGAACGAGCTTTCACAAATGGTATGTGCTCATTCCAGAAAAATCGTCCTATAGCCATATCCACTGCTTCCTTCCTTTTTGGATCAAAAGAATCCCGGATTCCCTGCTGTCGTTGCGAAAAAAACCTGGAAATTCCTTCTACAGAATTGCCACCTGGTGTAGAACTCTGGGAAGCAACAAAACTCTCTCCTCCAGTGCTTTGGATGCCTTCGACACATGTAGAAACTGCTCGTTTCTTGCTTTGGTGTTTTCCAGCCAAAACCTGGTCGTCAATGGTTTTAGCCATCTCCCTAAGCTGTTGTCTCTTCTCTGCTGAGATGACATCACAACTTAAGATTTCATGACCAGCTTCCCTTGTGAGATGTCCCCTCACACGATCCACACTTGAAACTTTGTCTCTCAACGAACACCACTTGCAAGACCAGCGTCGATGCCCACTACGGCAGTTTGTTTAATCACCAAGGATCACTTCTTCCCACCAAACGGATGATGGATGTCGCCCTGTTGAAGTCCTCCTGCTCTGGCTCCCAGATGCCATCACTTAGCTCAACCTCTAAAATCCTGCACTTGCTTCTACTCCAATCCATAATCACTCAGTCCAACCTCTAAAATCCCACACCCTGCTACTGCTCCAATCCACAATTGCTCAGCCTCTAAAATCCCACACCCTGCTCCTGTTCCAATCCACAATCGGTCACACCCTGTGCCTAAAAAAATTTTGAAAAACTCAAAATTTTAGAATCACACCGTTAATAACACAATTGCAATGCCAAGCAACTAAGAATCACAGCAATCTACAAAGATGCAGTGCCAAGCAACTAAGAATTATGGCAAAAGCAATCCAAAGAGAAAATTTGGGAGAAAAAATCTACAAACCTGGAGACAATGATCAAGAATTTTTTGCAGCGAAATCAGGCGTGGCTGAGTGCCATTCCTCCCACTCTAGCGCTAGAATCCTAGAGAGGGCATTCTTAGCCCAAGAAAATCACCATAGATCGCTGGAAAAACCTTTTGATTGATCGCAGGAATTTTTGATTGATCACAAGACAAGAAAAACATCAAAGCGCAAAACGCTCATGTGAACCACATGAACTATTGTTTTAGAACACGGTGTGGTCACACGGTATTTGACCGTGTTTCAACTGTGTTTGGAGCCGTGTTTTGGAGCATTGACCGAGTCAATGAACACGGCCCGTGTTAACATGGCTCGTGGCCGTGTTCGTGTCACCACGCCAACGCGCCATGGTGCACGGCGTGTTTTGAAGCACTGGCTGCATGAGCCTCTCACTCGGAAGGAAACTGGTTTGGGACGAAGGATACATCCACCTGGGACTGTTTAGAGCAATACTCGGGTATCTGGCTCTATCACTCTCCATCAAGGAGCGACAAACCATAGTGCAGGAACTGCTGCGTCTAAAGGAGGTGGAACTCGAAACGGGCCTGAAAGTTCATTGGACTCTTCGCATTGGAGACACTACGCGCCACGCGGTCTCGGAGAGGATGCTCTACTGGAACAGAGAGAGGCAGGAACTAGCCTATGTCGACGAAAGGCAAAGGAAGAAGAGGAACACAGAGTTTGGGACCGAGTTCGCGAGGATCATAGCGGAGGGTCTGCTTTTCCACCACCGGTACTTGATTCCAGGCATGGAGAGGCATCTGAGCATGCTGGCATTCTCTAAGTTCGACGTCATGGAGGTGGACAACATGCTCATCAAGCACAACATGCGGCTCTATAGCGAGGACGAGACGTTTCTAAAGACCGGGGTGATTGTGGATCCATCTAAAGCTGACGCTGAGAAGAACTTACATGGTGGTGAAGCAGTCGCAGAGATGGAACCGTTTGTGCTACTGGATGTTCCTGAAACGGAGGAAGATCAGTTGGAGAGAGATTCAAGCATTTCCAAACCTCCAGCAGACTCGAGATCGACCACCATTGTCGTCGCTTCAAGTTCTTACTCTCCAGCTTTTGTCGCTGCTACTCCGAGACCACCACCTCTGGACAATCGGAAATACCTCCTGGAGCAAGCTTTCCAAGTCTTGTCATCGCTGGACGAGATCAAAGACGAGGCGTGGACGATGGAGCTGCCAGACGAGTTTTTTAACTCAGAGAAGATCAGCGTGTGGCGAGAGACGTACCTTCCAACAGTTCGTCGCCTTTTGGACTATCCACCCGAGGAAGGTTACCTCAAGCCCGGGATGAGGACTGGCATGTCTCTAGACAAGATGCTCACAGCGGCATTTCTCGACGCTGGAAACTTTCCGGGAGTGAAAGGATCGAGCCACCATCACTTGAGCGTCGTTGGAGCAGCGTGCCTCAACCTGTGCCTGGCGATGGAGCTCGTCAAGCTAGATGACAATCACCACAGCGGAGTAAACGGCGCTTACAAGCTGACGAACACCTCCCTGCTCGCGGCATGCTTCCATGCCTGTGGGCTGGATGAATCTGTGCTGCGCAGCTCGAATTCGGCAGCCGTGAGCGACCTCGTGGCGGTGAGCGTCGCAAGAGCCCTACTGGCTGTGGGGTTTTGCGCCTACGGCGATGGATTGGGAGAAGTGAGGCGGATCTACCAGGAGGTGTTCCTCGCCGCCCTCGGCGATGCTCTCGGCTGAAATTTTCATGCGAAATATGCTAGGCTCACCGGTTTTGTATCAAGAGCCCTAAAAACTCTCCCGCCCAAGTTTTCAAATACTTTCTAGGAATATAGCCAGCATATTCGTTACTTTGATCCCTGGATGAAAGATATAAGACTGATAAGAATTTTGCCTGGATCAAATGACGAGAGAGGCTCACCTGGAAACTCAGCAGCCTGATACACAGTTCCAGCATCTTCCAAACCATCTCAGTTGCTCAAAGATAGCCAAATTCAATGTCGCAGACATTGCAGTTGTACAGTTGCGAATGTAATCGATGTCTCTTAGAGGCGTTCATTTTTGTGAAGAAGGTGATAGGCAAAGAACAAAGGCAAAGGCCTGAGGGGC